CTACACTTGCCCTGACTTCCCACTTTTCATAATGCTGCCTCATAGGGGGTATGAGGCCCCTGCCGTTTCCAAACTTGAGAAGGTAGAACCTCACAAAAAGTGGTGTATTGCCAACGCAATCGTGTGTTTGGCAATATGTTTAATGTTACTCCTTGACGTCGCTAGACCAAGTCAAAGTTCAAATATCCCTGAAAGCCAAGCTTTTTTAGCTTTGCATGCTTATATGGACGAAGGCATGGCGGGTAGCAACATGGAATATGAATAAGCACATTCCTTGTTTAATTTTGAACGCAAGGGTTTGTAGTTTTGTCCGTTTTGAGCCCACAATAATAAGGCAGGGTTCCGTTAATGCAACGAGCGTCAGACATTCGCATGCGGTCCGCAGAACCGTCGGTTGCAGCCCGCCGTCCGCGCCCACCGGGATTATCTTAGAGTAGTTATAAAAACCTTCGCTACTCAAAAACCAAAATGCTAGAAACACGTTTTTAGTCTTAAAGCACGTATGACGAATACTCCAGGGACTAGCAAAAATGTGGGCACGACTACACAACATGTTGAACTTTTATCTTCAGAAAACCTTAGGGGGAGGTGTCGCATCGGTTCCCCCTCCTCCCTCCCCCATGTGAAGGCGAGGCTAAGATTTTTTGTGTATGTAGACAGAACTTGCAGACTGATGTGAAGCTATCAACAAATTTTAATGAAGCTTCCTTATTTGTGGCACCTGCTGCGTGACAATTTTTGGACTAGCAACCCAAAGTCAGGTGGCTAGCGTAACCTGACCTAACCTGAGCACATGGTGGCTATTGAGGGCTACGTCACCAGAGCGAATTAGTCATCTTCAAAGTCCTCCGGACGCTTGGGGTCCTTTTTAATTGCTCAGGGCCCTTTTGACAACTGCGAGGCCCCTTCCATCGCTTAAGAGCCCATCTTTCTGCTCGTGGGGCTCCCTGGCCAGTCAGAGACAAAGGCACTCAATGTTCATGGCTACGTGCCTGCTTAGAGCCCCCTGGTCACACAGGAAGCATGCTCTAAGGAGCCTGTATAGCCATGTTGGGACCACGTCGGTCACTGACATCTATTTCTGGCCGCTCACGATTCCCACTGAACTAGCCGTCAAAATCATCTAGCCACGACTAAGACACGACTGACACGACTCAAGTTTGAAGACACGACTGGAGTGCTCAGGGGCTTGTCAGGCTACCGAAGGACCATTCTCAGGCGCATGCTACTGAGATATCGAGAGTATTACTTTCAAAAGTGGTTCGATCCCATACGTGATCCCGTTACGGAGTCCCCTCCCGCGTAAAAGTGTACTGAAAGGCTTTGGCCCTGGATCGACCAAAGGGGATCCGAGTGCAGTCAGATAGGGCTCCTGCTTTTGGCCCCTTGGAATAGCAAGATGGTTGGATGGAGTGGTGAAGTTGAAAGCAGCTTCAGGCTCAAATAGGGACAGGCTCATAGTTTTACTCCTTCGATGCGTCTGAATCAACGAACGAACTGTGAACTTCTGCGTGCAAAAGGTAAAAGAGATGGTTGGGATCGGCAATGATTGGTCTGTGTCAAAATTGTGTAACCTCGTGTTATTTCATTGTTCAAATGGTGGAAAATTATTAAGCTTGAGTCTGGAATTTATTGTACCTTGGTACGCTACAACATGTAAAAGTCTTCTAAAATTGGACTGCAGCCGTTACCATGGTTTTTATTCTTTTCTTTCATTTTTTCTCGGCGCGAAAAGAATATGAAACAACTGGCATTTTTTCAAACAGTTTCGTGGTCTCATCTTCCGTGAACCCGATGTTTCCTTCTTCCAGCACGCCCCCACTGCCTCTTGCCCAGCATTTGCGCAGTCACCGTCACCTCAATCTGAGCCCAACCCGGAGCCCAATATATTGCTCCTTCTTTCAAGCCAGCCTAAAAACCAATTTTAAACCTGTTTTACAAGTAACTGGGGCGCACAGAGAGGCACTCACTAGGCCACACATGTTGCGCCACACTTGAAAACTCGTGTACGTCTCGAGTATGCCAAAGGTATGGTGGAGAGTAAGATGATGGATAGGTTGGGACTCGATGCGCACACAAGTTCTCATAATGAGACATGGCATCGAGGAGACACACATGTTCAATGTCGTCCCCCAGTACCGCCTGACATCGCCTGGAATTCTGCCATATATTCAGCTATCTTGGCTGTCGAGGTTCCCCGCCTTTTTTTCCGCGGTCGAGGATAGCAAATCAAACGGTAGATCGAGCGTAGGCGTGGGACTCAGGCAAGTCCGGAGCTTTGAAGAAGACTGTTTTTGCGATCGCATTGTCCTATAGTCTAGGGCCCGTGTGCTTGCATTCCTAGCAGCAGCAGTTATTTTGGCATTAGCTGAATGACGGTATGTAATTGAACGTTTCAGTTGTGGGCATGAAATTGGAAGTCGTAGTAGTGCGAGGGATATTTGGTGATGCGCCGATTCCTGATGACGCCACAGGGCGTCGACGTCATTGCAATTTCACGTTATATGGTATCGTGTTACGCTGATGACGACAATTTTGCCCGCGGAAATTCGGTGGAACGTTCCACGAACAATGAAAATGTTTGTGGGTCCAGTCAGCAGATCGGAAACAGACAGGCGCGCAGGCCAGGATCCAGCGTGACTCGGGGCGTTCGTCCACCGCCGTCGGTAGCCAAAATCGGCCGTCCGGCAGAGCGATAGGCTTGCTTTATCCGCATCGCCAGCTGCCGCAGCCCCACGCTCATCAGACACTGCTGACAGCGAGCAGCTTGCCAAGTCCACGGCAGGCGGTGAATCCACGAGTGTGGAGGACGCTGGGGCGCGATGCCCGCGGCCCGCGTAATTGTCTTGCTGTTGGCGATGACTGTCTTGCTGTTGGCGATGACCATGATTTGCGGTGCCGCGGCGGCACCAAGAGCTACCACAACTGGGCGACTGCAGGCTTGGGGCGCGCAGCAGTGACCCCTGAAGAAATTGGCACGTGGAAGACCGTGATGGCCGTGCCAGCTCCACTGCGCCACGTGAGGCGGTGAGCGCCGCGGCACGACTACAGTCCGCGCTCACAGCTCATGGAGTGTCGGTGCACGTGTGTGGTAGGGCAGTCTGGTATGCGCTGGTATGGCTGTCCTCCATGTGGTGTTTGGACGCTTTAGCCGGGCTTGCCTTGTTTGCTGTTAAATGCTAGGACAAATTCATCCCTCCATTAATGTTTTCCAAACCCTAACTGAGCGCTGTCTCGGAGCCCCCAGCTTCAGTCGAGATCACCAGCAATAAACCCTCTTCGTGCCTGAAATAAATTCATAACTAAATCTGGATACTTCTCTAAAATAAGTGCATGAAGCCATCAAAATGACTCTCATCCCCAGTGGCAAACAAAGACGAAATGGCATGATCAAAACGCACGAACTGGTCCAACGGCCAGAGCCAAGGACGGACTTCCGAGCCCGGGGAGCCCACTTGGACAGCCCCGTTATCACTCGTGATCATGAGCGCAGCTTGAGGAGTTGAGGATCGACAGTAAAGATAATGTTTGCTTGGTAACGTCGCGTAACCAGTACCTCCTACGATACTGAAGATCAACAAGTGTCAACATAAGAATGTTCACCTAATGGCGGTTATTACGATGGATCACGATTCGAAACTTTTAAAAACTTCTTTTAGAAAGACATAACACTAAGTTCAGCGTTTATTTTCTAGCGACACTTCTTTCTTATTGATCTTCTGCTATAAATGTGATGCGTAAAATTACAATCCTATATGTAAAGAGGCATATTTGCATAACATGCATACTACGACTTCGCTTATAGCATTTGGCTTGCTATAAACAACGTCATACTTGTTTACTACAAGTATGACCTCGTTTTTAGACAAGTCCATAGGCAAGCATAAGATCATACTTGTCTGTAAACTGGAATGGTGCCAGATCTCTTCTTACCAAAAATCGAAACTTTTTAAAAACATCCGGTGGCATGTCTGACGTAGGTACGACAAAACAAGCACATGTATTCCTGCCGCATCATTTTTAATAGGTGTATAGTGTCTACACAGTTCACATACGAACATCATCCACGATGACTGATCCTTGAATTAAATGATCCTCAAAGCCTGCCCTCTTCTACACGCCAATGTCAACAATGATGGTGCCAAGAACTCCCTCGTTGGAGTGTTAGGGATACATCAAAATTTCTTGGAAATATTTCACAACCTTTCCTAAAACTTTTCGGCGCATTCAATGCATTGTGGAAACGACTTATATGTCTCATTTTCTCCAACTTGAGTTACCATTGATGGCTTGATCCGGATGCCCCTGCTGACTGACCTGACCCTGTTGCGCCGGCTCTGGCGAGTTTCTGCCTGATCTTCTCAGGAGCAGACCAGCCCCGTAATAGAGCGAAAGCGAGTTGACGCTCGGCATCGGTTTGAATCACCGAACATCAATATCACCAGAATATATTGTAAGATACCAAGGAGTCAAATGTTCTTTCCAACAGCAATCAAGCAAAGATTAGCCGTGTGAAAATAAGGTTGACTGTTACAGATGTGTAGAAGCTTCTTGGAAAGGGGGGATGGACCGATGCCGAATTTGAACTCGGTTATCTCCATCCATCGCCATTGACCGTTCCCGGACATTTATAAAAAGAGGGGTATGACCCGCCTTTCCTGTTTCCCCACTCATGGGCCGCTCAATAGAAGCCACAGGGTAACACGTTGAGCAAATGAATATAGATGTATGCAGAAACTCGGCTCACGTCCACACACATTTAAGACTCAACTATTACCGTTCTTCATCTTCCTCCATGACGCATGCTTCCGTGAAATAATGTTGTACAGTCTCCTGTTAGAGTCTAACACTACATCTCTGGCGTTCAATCAAAATGTGATCATCGTCGTTCAAAACAACTATTAGCTGATTAACGTGAGAATCGTCTGACCGACCGCTGCCCCGCCAGCTATATGCAGACAATGGCCAAAGCCATATCAGAATGCTCCTCGCAAGCTTACCTGAGAAGCAAAGAAGCAGCACCGCTCTGAGGAGCTGCATCGCTGCAGTCACAACCGACGACGGGGGAGTACTGCGGCGTTCAAAGAGGCGTCTGCCTGCTGTGCTCTGCCTCGGAGGTCATCATTGGACCGGCTTGGGGAGGGGGCGGGGCACCATCAAACGGGAGTGGACGCAGGCAGACAGTGCAATATAGGTAGGTTTCGGTTTCTAGATTCAAAATGTACGCAGTGGTGATGTACGTAGGGTTTTGTCACCGCACGTCCCGTAGACAAAACGTAAGCATTAATGGATAACTTCATACAGAATCGCGATCGTATTATAGCATGGTTATCATTGCTAACTATAAAGGCTTTTGGCCTGGCAGCGCCTTAGACCTTTCAAATTAGAGCTTCTTCTTGGGGTGAATCGGCTTCTTATGCTTCCACGGGGCAAGGGAAGGTCCAGAGCCTTGAGGAAAGATGTGCTCTGATTTTCTAGGCAAAGGCCGCCCTGACCTTTTAAACGCCTCAAATTTTGCTTCCTTTTTTAAGGAATGCTCTTAAATAAACTTTCAATCCAGAACATCAAGTTGCCATCGTACCGATAACGATAACTGTCAGTGGCAGATGTATATGGCCAGCGACGCGATTGCGTCCAATTTGGCGACGAGTAAAATGGTGTGCGTGACAACCTTAAGCAGTCAGCCATTGCAATGCATTTTGATCCTACACGGCCTCGCACTCCTTGTTCGTACTGCCGCCAGTGGTGCGAGTGGCGAGCACGACGGGTCTGCTGTCTGCTGCAGTTAATTTTTGCGCTAGATCCGCCAGACGCCCGCCAGGTGTGCCGTGGTCGGGCCGTGTCTATCTTCATTCCGCCGTGCTTGGCAAGTGCCTGTGCATGGAGTCGACCGTGCTGGGTCTTAGCTGTCTGTTAAGTCACCGTAAATGTTGCCATATGCATATTGCGTTCTTGAAACGTTTCACTGCGTTGTTATGTTTAACTTCAAACTGGCATGCGGGTAGAATAATGAACAGCCAAAATAGGGTGCAGAGCACGACAAATGCATCTGTGATACGTTTATTTTCAGCCGGAATAACGTTAACTGTGCGGCCGATGAATCCCTGTGTACCGGCACATGAGTGGTAGTGCGCTCCAATGATTATATTGACTTCATCCCTGATCATAGTCTGTGCGGAAAGCACACCTACACAGAGAGGCAAAATGGCGAAGCAAACGAGCAGCATGTCCAAGCAAACGATGGGCGATGCGCGCGCTTGTGTGGACCTGGTCCATGGCTGGTTGTATTTGGCGTCGGTTGCCACTTGCTCAGTCTTCCGCCGCAACACAGGTGCCTCGTAATAGCTCCCATAGCACTGCGTCACTGCATCACAGCCAGCCATAACATCTGGTAAAAAAATGAAATAACGGTAAGACGGCAGGGGTAATGAAATTTCGCCGAAGTGGGTGGGGGGGGGGGGGGGGGCGGGAAGGCGCAAATACTTTGAGTTACTTTCTTCGTCAAGACCTGTGGAATGGATGTCAAATTCTTAGAGAGTTGTGGACCCATCCCTTCCCTAGTACCCGCGGCCTTGCATGCCTATGCGTATTCCATTTTCACGGCGATTGAATCTCAACAGCTTTGTTAAATATAAGTTTGCAAAGCACTTGTTTATACTTGCCACTTAATTCCAGCTGATTGATTGAGAGATATTCGCACTTGCTTGTAAAAATATGTTAGTTTTCGGTGAGGAAGTAGCCCGATATTCATGCTGCATATCTCTATCATCCTGATAGAGATATGCAGGGAGTGTGCACGTTTTCGCTTTTTACGCCGATTTAATTATAAACGCTAGGTATATTCACTTGTAAATAGCACAGCATCACATTCAACATCAAATTTCAAGCATTTGACCCCCTAGTCATATGCACCTATCCCGACAGCTCGTTTGATATCGGTACGAAGATAATCCAATATCCCAGCCACCTATCTCTGCAGCAGTCTTTGCGTAAGGGCTACCAATTTCAACACCGATTTCATTGGTAATGGTTGGCCGCATAAGCTTTCAAAGCAATTCTTCATTTTCTACGTTAAATTCTACGCGGCTGGCTTGTTGGTCATATGCACCTGCCATTGACAGTTTGTTCATTGTTAATACGTGGAGAACCCGTTGCTTTGGCCGTCTTTTCTCGCGTGATTCCAATGTGCACGTTTACACTTTTCACATGTCTTTGCATTAGATCAAACGGTCAGCCGCATAGGCTTGCTAAGCATATCATCCTATTCACCAATAAATTGCACGTGATCGACTTCCTGGTCATATGCACCTCACATTGGAGCAGTTTATTCATGATCTGTGCGAGGACATCCTATGTCCCGGCTGTCGCGCAGCGTTGACGGAAAGCAGCTGCGATACGGCTAGCGCCGCGCCGCATTGAAGTCTAAGCTCCAGTGATGTCACCGCCCTCTACAAAGCTTGAGAAAACCTGACTTTGGCAAGGCTTATGCACGGCATCCCTCTGGTCCCCCTGCATGCCCCAAGTAAACGATGAATTGGCATGCGGATTATTCATTAACTCAAAAGAATTAAGGACATGCCGTCCGTGCGTCCAAACTCCAGTATAACTATCGATGAATCTTGCCCTGAAAGTGGTTTGAAATGGGCTGGCGGCCAGGGGATTAGTTTCAAATTGGTATAAAAATATGATCGCCAGAGAAAATGATGGAATAGGTTTCTCATTACCATGCCGATTGCTGTCGATATTAGTCATCCCCAAACCGACGACATTAGCCTGGAGGCAATTTTTGCCAGGGCAGTTTTCCACAAATTTCAAAAATCCAAATGTTCACACCCTTAAAGATGGGCTTGTCACACGTCTACCCATTGCCAAAATCGTTTTCTACGGCGTTCTCCTTCGACCGATTTTATCTAACCAATAAATAATTTCTATCTGATTTGTTTAGGCTCGCCGACAGCCATGGCGCGTTCTTTTGATGACCGCTGTGCCTGAGTGCGTAGGGTGCATGTGTGACTGTGTGCGCAATGTGTATGTGTGTGTGTGTGGTTAGGTTTTTTGTTTGTGTGTGTGTGTCGTACGCTTATTGTCTTTAAAACTGGGCTGCTTGCGCAGTTGGACTTTGGCTGTGGACTGCGCATGTCCTAAATAACCAAACAAACAAGCAAACAACATTGTTCTAGAAGACCGCAAATATCCTGTTTTGTTAGATCAAGAGCACCAATGTCATGGAAATGATCGTCTACCTTAGATTTCACGGCAGCGATAGCCTCATTGACTGGTATATTTCATATAAACCAACAACATCTAAACTGAAAAAGGTTCTCTCATGACGTTTTCCCTGTGAATGATTAGAAGCCTTCCATAAAAAGCCTATGGTATCCCATAGACAACTTTCCCTCTGTGTTTGAATCTGTGGAGCTCGCCTTGTCTATACATCGCTCGAGTCACATCCCTCAGCTAGAATGTGGGCAGTTTTTGTGCTCGGTCAATATGCCCAAAACATGTAGTACAACAATGGATTATTTTCTCGTCAACGACACAAAACGATTTAAATATTCCAAGGAGATGGGTATAGGTGTGCTTTGCCACAAGCAAGTTTATGGTGTCAGCAAAATACGACTTTCTGCTGCTTTCTCGCTGCTTTCTGCCATCTCCATCAATATTTCAACTTTCGTATCAGGACATGTCAGTTGAGTGGCATTGCGACTTAGACATCGTCGTGAGCAATGTACTGCTTTTGCGTTTGAGCATTTACTATGTGGTTCGATTCCCCACAGTGCCCACCCTTCCTGCCAGGGTGAGAGGCAAGCGTCCCCACAAAGACTAAATAACGCCGCAAACCCTCAATGGCACACAACCATCCATGTAAGGCCATTGACCTGTAAAAGGCAATTTTCTGCTCGTTTCGTCGTCGTTTTAGTGATGATGGCTTGTCAGTCGAGTCGTGTTATGCCTGACTTTGATGGTAAGTAATTGCTTACGTAAGTTGTTGAGTGTATTTGCGAGGAGCATTATGCGTATAGCCGAGACAGTATTAATAGCCTTATTCCTCGCAGAATAAACGGAACAATGACCAGGTGTGGGAAGCAGTTAGATATCCGTTTGATACTGATTTCATATTCTATAATGCGATTACGCGCATTTTAGTAGTGCGTACTACGTAGTGGTATAATTTCTTATACGCACTATTGATATTCGTTTATATAAAGGCATGCAGCCAATTATATCATCTATCTCTCCACTTTCGTTTTCTTTCCACGACGAATAAGGAAAAGCATCATTGGAAGGATCCATCTCTGGAAAAAGGATGAGCGTGCGCCGTGTACATGCATATATTCACCTATGTCCATCCCTCCACGATGCGCAGAGGACGATGGTTTCTCGATTAGAAAATAGAGATCTGGAAATGAAATGGCCGAAATACCGGGACCTCTTGAGAGCGTGGTGTGATTGTGCGGGATGTGCGCCCTCGCTCTCGCTGTCTTCCGAGCCCTACATTTGACTGGGTGCCGGGGGGCGTCACGTGACCGCGGGTCTCCCGATTTGCCGGGGGTAAAGAGTCGGCCGCTGATGCGGCGGCAGGGACCCGACGCTGGCAGGCGCCAGTCGGTTTTTGGACGAGCCCGGGCGAACGCACAATGCGCTCTTTTACAGAAAGAGAGGAAGACTTCAAGCTTCAGTGCACTAAGCTCCAGTTCCACAGTGAAGCGTGGGCCCTTCCGTCACGAAATCCTAGATCAATACCTAATCGTACGCCTAGAAAATTGCAACGTTGTCTGTGGGTTCCACAATGGCTGTGGGGCATCCATTGAACAACCTGGGACTTGCGCAGCACGAGGCCGATTGCAAAGACGCGCCTGAATCTTACACTCGTTCAAGGTTGTCTGAAATGCGGTGTTACCGCTTCATCTCACCAGCGCAGCGCAAGAAACTTTTGAACTAATAGTCCATCACTTCAGTTTTGCCGTATCTCAGGGACACACATACATACATACAAGGACACATACAAGCATAACCTTGGATTTTAAATGCGCTTCCAGCTTGCCAAGATTTAAATTAT